CACAAAAATTATCACTACGCGGGCAAACAAACATTAACACGCCAGCACACCAAAAGCACAAACAACAGACTACGGCGGCAAACTCCAACCACACAACACAACACCACACCAAAAGCACAAAAAACAACACACCACCACACCAAAAGTGAGAGAGACAAACAACCACCACTGGCAACCTAATCAATAAATAAATTAAAGAACAAATTGAAAACCCAGTTCAAAACGAAACAAAAATCGAAACCACAAGTCAAAATTACATAAACAAGTTGAAAACCTAGTTCGAAATTTCAGAACAATGCAGACAGATCACAATCGATGAGGAAACCACAAGCCCAAAACTCAAACACGAACGAAACTAATAACTACCTGCGAAACCAACGAAATGATCACTAGAACGAGAGGGAACGGCCGGAGCTGAAAGAGTCCTTCGAAGAGGCTTCAATGGTGAGAGGAAGATGAGCCAGTAGAGAGAAAAATGATGTAGGGCTGAGAATTGTGTTGTTCAGGGGCAATTTCGGTATTTATATAACATTATATAATCAGGGTAAATTTTGTAGCTGTTTTGAGTCGATTACTCCAACGAAATTCACTTACTAACTAAAACCTAAAAAATCAATTTAAAATAATTTTATATTTTCCAACAAAAGTCTATTTTATTTTATTTTTGTTATATTATTTTTGCCAATTATCATCATTTAAAAATAAAATGCATACAGAGATTATAATTTCTGGTTAAGAATAAAAAGGTTTATACCAATATTTGAAGAGACATCCCGCCCAGTGTGGTTTAGTGATATCTCAAGGGATTTCAAGAGACATCGTCGCTCTTGATTTTGATACAAGACTTTAACCTACCGTCTAAGTAAAGATGCGCGCTATTAGAAACGATAGAAACCAAACTGAGTTACTAAGAAACGACCCGTTCAGTCTAGTTTATATTAAAGGTTTAAGCATAAATTGAATTTTATTTTTGTTGACCAATGAGACTAACTAGGGTGTGAAATCTCTCTTCTGCAAAAGAAAAAAAAACATCATTCTATTCATTAATTCCATGTTAAGTCTAAGCTTAAATGCTACTACATGTATTAGAAGGAAAAAGAAAAGAGATGAAGGCATGGGGACAAATCTCATTACAAGTCAAGTCAAGTCAGTGGATGTTATAGATCCTGATGGTGAACAAGCTTAAGACCCCAGCTCATGTCTTCACAATGTCTTACATGTGGAACAACTACACCAGTATCTATTCCTTTCTTTGCCTTGCAATCATAGAACGGAGGAGCATGAAAGCAAGGCTCCATTGACATCGCCCTACGACACGCTGGATCGGGCGTGGTCATGTTCTCCGCCTTGTAAAGAATCCATGGCTTCGATCCCCCGAGTCCTTGAGCCACATACCCAAACGTCGACCATGCACTGGTCACTAATACATCGCTCATACTCAGAAGGTACATTTCTGCCCATGCTTTCCTGTTGTGAGCCTTCTTCTCAGTCTGCTGATACATTTCGTAGCTTGGCTGGTGAACTGCAATGACCTCTCCCGTTGTGGTTGGGTATTCCCAGTACAAGGTTCTCAATTTTTCATAATATCCAGAACTCAAGGATGTCATCAAAACCGCTTTCACTCTTGGGCGTTCCAAGGGAACCGAAGAGAAGTCTTCCTTGTCTACGTCGGGAAGTATCTTCTCCTGAAGAGTACAGCTTAAAATCTGATCCATTATATGTTCGAATGGTCCCGATCCACTCTCGAACACTCTTACTTGAATTCCTATCACTTCATCTGCACTTGACAGATATGCTTCGTAGTATCTCGTAATCAGTCCCCAAACGTGATTCGATGGGTGGAAAAGATATTGACCCAGATGATGAAACACGTTGTCTTTTTGGGGGAATAAGTTACTCAGTTCGTGCTCGAAAGACGGGATCAGGAAGAGAGATGGAACAAAGTAGTTATCTGTCTTGAGTATCAGCCAAGGGACCCTACTTAAAAGAGCCTGTTCTTGATCACAGAAGAAAAGCTTGTCATGATCATCATAATCATGAACCAAATGTAGGTATAGATAGGATGGGAGCGCTTCTGTCGATTCGTTTAGAGTGTTCGTCTTAAGCATATATCCATGACAATTAGGAGATTTCTGATTAAAGTTGCTGAATTGATCCATCAAGGGGAAGTCATTTGGTAGCAGCCAAGTTTTTTCTGGGAAGGGCTCACAAAATAGATCAGCCATATCCTTCCCCGGATCGACAAGCAAGACACGATCGGTAAGAACGGCATAGAGGAATGCAGAAGCCAAAGTGAGTATCTTATTTCCCAAGCCACTATAAGACATCCACACAACATATTTACACTCTGTCAAACGAACACTACTGCCAGATCTGAGCTGCTCTACTGCTTCATCATATAGTTTTGTATGCGGACCACATCGTCGATGAAGCGCTTCATAGTCTCTAAGCTTCGAGAGGAGGTAAGGAGACGGTCTGTGGGTCAAAGTTCTTCGATATAAACTGGATTGATATCTACTCAAGCATGATCCTTCATCAAATCCAGGAATGAGAAGGCCTCCAATAAGCTTGTCTCTATTGGAGAGTCTAGAGAAACCGTTTTCTGAACCTATAAATTCAAAAACATGGACAAAAATGAATGAACACTAGAATTCATTATAGACTTGAATCATTCAAAATGCATAGATTCCACTCTTTTTGTTTCCTCTCCTGTGATATCATATAGGAAGTTGAATGCACAAATCTCCTCTGTGCATCTACTAACAATTTTATAAGATCTAAAAGGGTCCCAATGGCTAGAAGATGTAAATATATCAGAAGCTCCTGCTATCTTCTCTGTGCATCAACGTGCAGAACCAACCAAAAGAGGTTTAATAATGATACTCATAACAACAACGAAGACTACAGAGCTAATAAAAACAGTCCAAAAACTTTTTCATCAGAGGCCCAGCAACTACAAATCAGGGACATGAATCACTGAAACTATGGCAGGATCTATAGCTAAGAAATCAGACATCTGTCGAAGTTTTTTGAGTACCCATCACATGAAAATACTAACCTGAACTCTCAGAACTGCCATTAGTGACCACTCTTTCCAATGCTCTGGCTTCAGCAAAACCCAAAGAGAGATCCGCCGCCGGATTCCTGAACACCAAAACAACAAAAACGACCAACGGAAGACCTATAAGCAAATAAGTAAAGATCTCCTTCACCTTCATATCTCTGAGGAATCCCGATTTCGGAGCACCGTCCGCCGATGCCTGGAATCGGAGACGATCTATGGGCCTTGAACACAGACTTCGTCTTCTAAAAGCTCTCGTCATTCAAAAATTTCAAATGGGTAATATGGAAAACCTGGGATTTCTCCAGATTTGGCTCGATTCGATCGCGATATGGAAAGAAAGCTAAATGGGTATCATGCGCCAGCTCGAACAGAGCAGAATTTGGGGTAAAAGTTCAAATTTCTACAGGGTTCAACAAACGTGGTGAGGTGATTTGATTGTTTTATAGTATCTGCAGTCGGTATCGCCATTGATTGAGCATTGACTGCAGAAGGGATTTATATTTTAAGCTCATAAACGTGATTTGCCAAATAAATCTAGTTGATTTAATACAAAAAAATCTCGTGGGATGGCGAGGGTTGGACTCGGGATGAGGGTTTCAATACACTGATCAAAAGTTTAAGTGCTAAAATGTTGGTTCCATCGAAAAATCTTGCCGCTTTGGACAATAATGATGCAACAAAAATTGAAAATAATAGATTTTATGCAAAAATAGGAACAAGTGATTAAGACTATCTATTATTGGATATAATGTAAAGTTAATTTAAAAAATAATATATTTTATTTATATTTACGAAAATAGAGAAAATGGACTGTTTTTTTTAAATAATTATTGAATTTGAATGATGTCTTTACAAATACTTTTACCACCAAATTATCTATTATTGGATGTAATGCGTAAAAAACAATAAATTCTATATATATTCCCAATAATAACTAAAATGCACTATTTTTTTTAATAATTATTAAATATTAGATAACTTTACTAATATATTTATATTTATATCTCTTTAATAGTTTATATTATCGTGTGAGTTATGTTCAAATGGACGATATTCAAAGTGATGTATCAAAATAAATAGATTTTTAAAATTAAATATATGATATATTAGTTGTTTGATGTATGGTCCCTCCCATTCTTAAAACATAGGTCCTCATCTGACAAGTGATGGTGGAGTTAAGGCAACCGAATCAGGCATTAATTAATGGCAATTCAAAATTGTTGGCTACGATCGGGACAATTGAGTTTGATGTGATGAATGAAAATGGCTTCTCCCGTGTTGCCCTACTATGATGAGAAATAGCCAAAATGATGGCTCGTTTTGTGTAACTTTTCTCTAATATTATATATCATTTATTATTTTTGAACTTGAAGGTAAATTTTTTGTCGATATAGTTGTATATTTATGAAAAGTTATTTTAAAACCGTGTATAATAATAATTAGGTTAATATGATTTTACTTAATAATAATATAATTATGAATTATAATAGTCATAAAAATATAAGTTAATTAGATTGTGACAAAATATGACAAGAACAATCAATTTAGACTGTGTTGTGATTTAATTTTAAACATAATTATTTTTATACAAATGGGTAGTAACATTTTTGTGTTTCAAATAGTTTTTATTTATTATTTTGTTATTTATTTTTAAAAAATATTATTTCTTTTGTGATAAAATTAAATTTATTTAGATAATTTTGATTTAATTTTTAAGAAAATATTTTATTCAGTAATTAATGATTTTTTATGTATGGTAATTTCATATGTTTTTTTAATTTCTAAAAATTTTAAATTTGACAGAAAGTATTGGTTTAATCCGGTGTCGTTTCTAAAAAAAAAAATTTTAAAATGAAATAAAATTTATTTAATTGGAGCGACATCTATTTGTAATCCTTGGAGCTGTATTTCCTGAAAAAAAAAAAAAAAGAAAAAAAAAAAAAAGAAGAAGAAGAAGACCTATGACTGTGAGTCATTGACTAATTCTTGAGGGTTTTAGGGGTTTAAGCGGGCGGTGGAGCGACGAACGATTCCGCCTCAACGAACATAGGGACATTAACACTGTAAGCTTCGAATCCGATTACTCCTTCGGCATTGACTAGGATGTCAACTTCGGAGTCGAAACTCCAAGACGCAGAATCAAACGCCGCCGCCGCCGCCGCTAAAACACCGGAAGATCAACAACAATTGGGCGCCCCAAATCACTCTGAGGAAAAATCGCCCCAGGAATCAGTTCAATCAGGAAAGATTTCTGAAAGTGGAGGTGAAGATGAAGGAGGAGAGGATCTAGACGAGGAAGAGGAGGGGGAGTGTGGGTTTTGCTTGTTTATGAAAGGGGGTGGTTGCAGAGATAGCTTCGTAGAATGGGAGAAATGCATTGAGGAGGCGGAGAAGAACAAGGAGGATATTGTGGAGAAGTGCTTTGAAGTCACTGGGGCTCTGAAGAAATGTATGGAGGCTCATGCGGATTATTACGAGCCGATTCTGAAGGCGGAGAAAATGGCAGAAAACGAGGCGATTATCGAATTGGAGAAGGAATCAACTCCAAATGCTACCCAGCAACATACAGATTCCAAAGACCTGGAGGTGATTTCAGGTACCGAGAATTTGGAAGAACAGAAGGCCTCTGCTGCTGGTAAGTGAAGATCTGATTCCTGAGGCGGAAATCATCATTTTGTCGAGAGTATTTTAGTTTCTAGCAGATCTTTTAACAGGCCGTGGAAGATAATCATCCTTGAACTCTTTGTCTTGTGCACCGAAAGCTGATCATATTCCTTTCGAAGTATCATAGGAAAGAAGAGATTTTACCTTACAACACTTTCGATTTAATTCAATTTCTGATTAATTGTTCGTGCCATTGTTGCCTAATATCATTTTTTCCACAATCATAGTCCCTTATACTACCTTTGTCATTAGTAACTTATATTTATCTGCCTAGTCCATTTTGTAATGGTAACTGGAGTTCTTGGATTTGAATCTTGGATGTGTAGTTACACAATTTGATCTTTTGCCAATTAGATTGTCACTACGAATTATATCTAATGTTTAATTAGTATGAAACCAGTTCTATTTGTTGCATGAAAGCCACTAATTGACAGTTACAAGAGGGAAAACTTTCCTGTTCGATCAGAAAGGATACCTACACTGGTATACTTTCTTTCAAACCTACAACAAGAGGAGCCATTGGAATGAGATGGGTCAGTCAAGTTTATAGTTTCTTTTTTTCGAATCTGTGTGCAAATTCTTGAGATATAGGAGGTTGATATTAGTGAGATGGATCACAGTAAGCCTGTGTTTTTGTTCCAAAAGTTCAGTCACTCACCCCACAAATACCCAGAAGTGTGTCATATTAAGTGTTTGCTTTTGACACATTGATACCTACTAGTATTTCTTTTCAGATGCCCACTGAAGCTAGGGGCTATACACTTGAGGCCCATCTTATGCTACTTTTAAGGATTGTTTGAGATGAATGGTGAGATAAGGTTCTTTAGCTACTGAACATATCACTTTGAATTGCAAATGTATGGCTGTTGCTTGTGTGCGTGTGAAAACCTGGTTATCATTTCAGCTGCAGAACCCGCATGTTGAAGCTGATTCCTCTTTAAGCTCCTCATGAGTGCATAAATTTGGTATTATTGAGCTCGAGACAACATAATCTCTACTAGTAAGGCTGATCACTCTTTAGGCTTCTTACAGGGAAAAGTGCTAGTAGCATATCTCTTTATTTCCATTTCCAGTTTTTAAAGCTTAACCTTTCTATGTTCAATTAGTGCAATTCTGTTTGAATATTTTCCGTCTCCCTGCTAGAATGAATATTTCATCTACCAGAGTGTCTTACTTATAATAGTATAGACAGTTAACACACGATATTTGTGAAGTCGTTAGAGGTGAAAAAACACTGCTATCTTTTAGAAGCACCAGATCATTGTGTGCCCTTGTATACAACTAAGATCTCATGGCAGCAATTGTTCGTTTTTCGAACTAATTCCATTAGGTTTGAAGGAATCCTGAGAGGGTCAAAATTATTGCAATGTTGTGTTATTTAATATACATGATTTGTTAACATTTTGAAACAAGTAAACTGTATATCTTGAAAGAATACTGTCTGGAAAACTTTAATCATCTTTGTCATCGTCTTCATCGTAGTTGAAAGGCAGTGGTACAGATTTAAATGCACGGTACCTCCCAACATTGTTCAGATGCTCATTCTCCAACCTAAACCAGAAGGGCCATGGAAGATTTCAGAAAGAGGCAGCTTGAGGAAACAACCCAACCTAAACTGAATTTTTGAAGTCATACCTGAAGAAATTCCATATGCCACGACGAATGATCTCAAGGCTGGCCACTATTGTAATCAAACCTTCTGTATGCAGGTTGGAGAACTTGAAATCCAACACAGTTTGCAGCCAAGCAAACCTCAGTAAAACATTCAAGAACTGCATTTGATTTCCACAACTTGTTCAGATAACTAGAAAGAGATGGCCCTAACTTGCTTTTAGCAGTGAAACCTTGGGAGAAAAACTCACCATTGCCACAAAATAAACACTGTTATGACCAACAAGTAGTTTGTCTCTTAGCCATCGGTTTTTCGAATGGCGCTGCAAAAGGCCCCAGTCAATGGCGAGGTCCCAATATGTGCATATAATGGCAGCAACAGCTGAGAACACTGCCGCCAACACTTTCCAGGTTATTCCCTTGTTTAGACTGTAAGCTGTCCTCAAGCAAACAGCTACAATTGTCAAGAAGTACTTCACTCCGTTATATCCCTGCATTGTATCTTTCTCCTCAAACAGTCGCCTGAGACACTGTAAGAGTGAGAAACCAACAAAAATTTGTATGTTAGTGGTATAACTTTTCCCTTCTTTGGACAGAGATCAAAAGTTAGATGATGAGATTCAAACCTGAAGGAGACGAGACAAATATGGAATAACAGCAATGATGAAGCTGAAAGTGTTGAATACAGTATTGGTTCGACAAGTATCCCGTCGATGTTTGTAATCTCCCCAACCGTAATAGCAAATGTAGAATTCCAAGCTACGAAGTGCTTGCACCTGAATCGAGTCAAAGTAATTGTTTGAGGATCTATGATGTAGGTAGTTTCTTGAACAGAAGAACCTAAGAAAAAAGCTTGATGTAACTAACCTGGCTGGTTAACTGATCTGCCAAGAAGAAATCAGGGAAGACGACCTGTCGAAGAAACGTAACCAACATTAGAGGATAGTTCAAGAACCTTCCCAGTAGGTCGAAAGTTCAAAATCCCATCTTTCTTACCGTGTAAAGGGGAGCACATATGCAATGGTACAAAGTTTTTATGCAGAACAAGCGACTCGAACGATATAAGATGTTGAGTGGACACAAGAAGACTGCAATCACAAGCTGCAGGCAGAGAAAAAGACAGACTTTTAGTCACAAATTAATGGTTTTATGGCCAAATGAGTAGTGTTTTGTGAGACCATTCTTACAAGGAGCAAAACCAAAGGAAGAAGTTCAGTGACTGCTTGATATGACTTCGTTACAGGGTCCATCTCCATGTCAAGGTTAGAAAGAACACAGGCTAAAGCAAGAGTTGCCACAGCAAAACTGGGAAAAAGAACCTCTCGGTAGGCCAACTCAGTGCCTTGTTTGAACCCAAATATGAAGGAGTAGTTCACTTGGTATCGCCTCCAAAAGTATATGTTTGCTGCATACATTAGCAGGTGCAACACAACGAATCCAAACAAGCTGCATCAAACAAGCAGAGGAATGAATTAAAATGCTCTAACATTTACAGCAGACCATTTCTCTTTTATCAGGAAACAAGAAACGAAAAACGACAACGGTGTCCTTTTAAGTTACCTGTAAAGAGGAAACATGGTTTCCATATACTGGGTGCTGCCTTCTCTGTCTAGTAAATGTCGAGCTCGAGTAACGAAAGCGAGTGCGACGATAAGAGCTACAGTGCAGCCAGCAAAGAAACCTGAAATATTTGTTCAAAGTTAACCAAAATAATGAACATCAACGAAGGGAAGTCTGTGTTGGAAAAGGTTTGAAATGAAAAGAATCCATGATGGTTCTTTACCAACTGAAAATGTAATTCTATGTCTTTCTTTCTTTGCTTTGGGTCTCAAGATGTTCATTCCTTTGGTCCGATTAGCATTGCAGAAGTGTTTGATAAATGCAGCTTCCACCCTTTCCATTAGCTTGGAAACCTGATTTAATGGCAATAGTTAATGTCACAAATGAAACTCGAGATATTATGTGAATCATAGCAAACCATCTATGCTAAATATGAACCTAGTTCAACTAACCTAAAAACATGAACCATTGATCAAGAGGTCAAATGTTCAAATTTCTATCAACTATCCTACATATTGTTGAACTAAAAACAAACCATCCACGGACAGAAATCACTTATAATAGCTCAAGTCCACTGCTAGCAGATATTTAAAACGCGTTACGTATCACCATTAGCTTCACACTTTTAAAGCACGTCTACTAGGGAGAGGTTTCCACACCCTTACGAGGAATGCTTTGTTCCCCACTCCAACCGATGTGGGATCTCACAATCTCCACCCCCTTGGGGGCCAGCGTCTTCGCTGGCATAAAGCTCGACGTCTGGCTCTGATACCATTTGTAACAGTCCAAGTCCACCACTAACAGATATTGTCTGTTTTAGCCCGTTACATATCACCATCAGCTTCATAGTTTTCAAACGCGTCTACTAGAGAGAGGTTTCCACACTCTTATGAGAAATGTTTCGTTCCCCTCTCTAACCGACATGAAATCTCACATTGCCGAACTTTTTAACTATATGGAACTATGCCCGTGTTAAGAAATTATTCAAACGCAAGAAAAAAATATAAATATTTTAGATAGAAATTTAGAGAATTTTCACTCTCTTCAATTGACTTTTTGGAAAATGGGGTTTGAAATATTGCATTTTGATATCCTATGAGAACAATAGAATTTAGAGGAGAAAAGAAGTGTGCCATAAATTCAAAATAATTACAGCTAAAAGATGTTGAAAATTAAAGCAACCTCATCAGAACTCCCAAGATAAGAGCTGTCCACCATCTTCATGTATGACTTTCCTGCATTTCTTGAGGTAATCTGCAGCCATCATTTTGAAATAATAAGCTCCAAATTATGAAGAATCTCTTGAATATAACATAGAATATAATTCAACTATATTTACCTTATCATATTTCTTCATTATCTTTGAAAATGCCAAAGTATTCAAGAAGCTGTTCATCAAAAAATGAAAAGAAAATTCAGACAATTCCACATTATGAAGAACTAAGGATTTAATTGAATTACCTGAAGCTTTTTAGCAGCCTGAGTTTGTGGTAAAATACAACAAAAGCCCTTTTGAGTTGGTTCTCAATTTTGTTGAGATTTTCTCTGTTGAATTGAAGCTCTGAGTTCTTGGGGAAGTTGAAAAGGCCTTTAATGGTGGATCTTGGTGTCTCTAGAGTTGTGTTCATTGTTACACGATCAAGAAGTTCAAGTGGAGGTGGTCTGTTGGCCTTCATCTTCGTTTCTTTCCCTTCTTCATCCTTTGTGTTCTTCTCTTCCTTTCCATCTTTTTCTTCTTTTGATTCACTTTCTGGTTTATGACTTTCTTTGTGGCTCGACCCACCTTCTTCTATGGCGTCCATTGCTATATGAACCCGTCCTGTGTATATCCAACATGTAAACGTTTAGACGTGCTTTTGAAATGAGTTACTTTGACCCAATAACCTTTAATTATTAGGTTATGATTTGTGAGATCCCATATTGGTTAGAGAGGGGAACAAAGAGTTACTTATAATGATGTGGAAGTCTATCCCTAGTAGAAGTGTTTTAAAACTTTGAGTCAAACCCTATAAGGAAAAGTCCAAATACCAATATCTACTAGGAGTGGATTTGAGTTATTACAAATGGTATGAGAGTTACGTACTGCATGGTGTACAAGTGAGGATGTTGGGTCTCTAAGGGAGGTGGACTATGAGATCCCATATTGGTCAATGGAAAGCTCTCCCTAAAACGGACTTTAAAATCTTGAGGGAAAGCTTGAAAGGGAAAGCCCAAAAGAGGATAATATATCTGTTAGCGGTGAGCTTGGGCTATTACAAATGTTATCAGAGTTAGGCATCGAACAGTGTGCTAGCGAGAACGTTTGGCCCCAAAGAAGGTAGATTGTGAGATTACACATGAATTAGAGATTGATGAAAACCTCACCTTAATCCGACGCGTGAGGGGAAAGTTCAAAAAAGGACATAGTTATGTGATTTCGAGTAGTGGGTGTCATCAATTCATACAAACAAAACAAAGAAAAACTTACTGCTAGCTCGGACCCCAGAAGGGGTGGAAGATGACAAAGCAGCAGTAGAAACAGCAATATCAGTGGCCAGCTTTGAAATCTCCTCCGACCGGTCGCCGGAGAAATCCCAAACACCCTTTGGATTCTCCACTTTGATTCTGAAAGCAATCAAAGCATCCATTTGCTTATTCAACACACTCGCCTCCTTCACAACTTCCTCCACTTTCGACTTATAAAACTTGTTCACTTTATTAAACTCTCTATCCAACGACCTAAAGTACACCAACTCATACTCTCCCCCTTCCTCATCCGCCATCAAAAACGTCGTCCGATACTTCCTCGTCCCGTCCCGGCTCACCGCATTCACCAATATAGCCTGCTCCTCCACTGCATCCTGCGGCGACCCTGCCCCACAACAATAGTACACAAATTAGTTATAATTGTTGATGATTATTGGGAGTGAGTCCCACGTAGGTTAATTTAGTGGAAGATCATGAGTGAGTTTATAAGTGAGGAATACTATCTCCATTGGTACGAGGTCTTTTGGGGAAGCCCAGAGCAAAGTTATCGTGATTCCTAACAATAATAACCTCCACATGGGATTATACCCAAACCTCTATTTGTTGAGCATCATTATGAGTAAGAAATACATCTCTATTAATACGAGACATTTTGGGGAACCCCGAAGTAAAGCCACGAGGCTTATACTCAACGTGGACAATATTATACTATTGTGAAAGGTCGTGATTACTAACACTACTATCATCGTTATCATCATGCAACCAACCTGGACTTGCAGGATGGCTGTTGTGGCCGTGGCCGTGGCCGTGGCTGTGGCTGTGGCGGAGAGTCAGGCCGCTGAAAGCCCTGTAGAGGCTGAGGGTCCGTCTGAGTTGGGCAGAGTCGGTTACGGGGTGGTTTCTAGCGTGGGCTTTGTTGAAGGTGTCGATTTGCTTCAAGAGGGACTTGAGGAACTCGTAATCCATGTGGGCTTGCTGCCATTCAGGAACCATCTGAGCGGCAAATTGCTTGCCGAACTTCATTATGGATGATGCTCGTGTTCAACAGAGAGCTGATGTTTAAATTTATGATGGAAAGCAACACAACAGAAGGGCGACGTATTTATAGTTGAAAGAGTGTAAATATTGAAAGAGACGTGCATGAAATTTCAAATCATGGAGGACACGTGTCATGCAGGATGGGGGAGGAAACTCAGTCGGTCACTTCTTACTTAAAATATATAATAATTTATGAAAAAAGTTCATAAAATTATAAATATATGTACGGAAATGATAATTGAATTTTGGATGTCGTATGAAACAAGGAAAGAGTGAAAAATAAATCAAAATATTGACTGCTTTATTTATTTTTTTTTTTCAAAACATTGACTGTTATTTATTTATTTATTTATATATTCAGCGACTGTGTCAATCAGAACAATCAAAGGAACACGGTTCGATGTTGGAAACTTCGGAATTTGAAAAGGTGGTCTTTAATCAAAATTATTATTATATATATAATTAATTAATTAAATAAAACCCAGAAAGAATCAATTTTTAATATGCCCATTACATGAAATGGCCATATATTCGAATGATTTTTCAGAATAAAATTTTAAAAAAATAATTAAAGGAAAGATATTTCATAAGGTTGACTAAGTCTTTCCTAAATTTCAATTTAAATTAATGATAAATCTATGACTGTTTGTTCATATCATATTTATAATCATGTTTTCTAATCTTATTAATAAAATAATTTTATAATTGAAAATTTTGCATTGCACTCGCTCGAACCCTCGTTCTCTTGGGCAAGAGAGCTCATAACCGTAATAAATGCTAGCAAGGACCGCTGGAGTTATGACTACTCTCTTTTCTTGCATCAAAAAATCCGACCATGATTAATGTTTTATAACATTACTTTTGTTAGAATTGTTTTCAACGTATTTTCTAGTTCACGTTTTTCAAATTCTTTCTCTCAATCGTAATTTAAGACTCGAGTATATGTCTATATTGCACACAAAGGTCAGACTGACTTGTTTGCTAGATTAGAACAAGTGTCCGTAAAATTTCAAAGTTATCATGGATTAGGTCAGTTTTGGGAGAGAAAAATTAAAAAATTTCCTTTTTCAGTAAGTCAATTATGAGCAAAACAAAACAAAAACGGGGGTATTTTCCAAAAGCTAAGGCAGTAATAATTATCTCAACCACTTTCTTTGACACAAAAAGGAAAAAAAAAACTTTTTATGAACTAAGTGTCTTTGGCTTAGAATTTTCTAAACAAAACCCTTTTAATATATATTATTGAGCCTTCAACCTTTTGTTGCTCAAAGCATTCCACTAAATTCAAAATTTCAAGTTACTTTATTTTCTTTACAATTAGATACGAATATGGACGTGTTGATATGTTCATACTATGGGATTATCACGTTTAATTATTTTAATTACACATCAATATTAAATTAATTTTATTAAGTTCTCGTCTTGCATCACTCCTACGTCATCTCATCTACTTCTAATATGTATTAAACACAAAATCGATTATAAATTTTTAATTTTTTGTTTAATAGATTTTTTTTTTTTTTTTTTTTTTTTTTTTTTTTTTTTTTACTCCTAAACTTTTTTTTTTNAAATATCCAATAAACTAAAAATATATTGATTTTTTTAAATATAAATTTAAGGATTTACTAAATATTTTTTTTCTTATTTAACCTAAAAATAAAATTGCATTCTTTCAAAGTTGATTAACTAAATAACTTATTACATAGTTTTCTAAGTTACAAAATGGTTTTTTTTGGGTATTTATTTAATGGATAAAGTTTTTAGTCTTGTTTACCTAAAATCATTTTGTCTGAAAAGGTAAATATTGTTGGTTTTGAAATAGCTGACCTAACTCTGAAAAAAAACATTTATGGGGTGGTTTATAACGCAAAAATAAGACATCTTTTATAAAAAAAAAAATTTACTTTATAGGATATAAATAAATAAATAAACATATATATATATATATATATATATATATATATATATATATATATATATATATATATATATATATATATATATATATTTAAATAAAAATTATATCTTCTAGCTTTTAATGTGTTTTTAATAAGATATTTTAAGCATTAAATATGGATTAGAGGAAATACGTTAAATTTTCCAAAGGCCTTAGCTTTTGAGCCAAAATGTTGACCTGAATAAGATGGTTGGCTGCTACCCTTTTTATATGGAAAATTGTGGGCTCATCCTTGTTGTTGCTATGGAAGAGTAGAAATTTCTGGAACATGACAGAGAAAGGAAGGTACAGTAAATTTTGAATTTTGTTATATGTTATTATATTTACCTGATTCTCGGAAGGAAAAGGTCAAAAAAATACTGTAACATTTCTCCTCATTCAACTTTAAAGTAGTCCAACAACATAATTAGACCGTTACTACTTCTTCTATGGAGAAGGAGTACAAAATAATGAACTCAAAGTCAGCCCACTTTTATCCAACATGAGTAGAACTGAAACTCTACCGCCTACCGCTACGGGATATGACCCGTTACGTATCATTTTTATCCAACATGAGTAGGACGATGCATCATCTAACACACCACCTCGCAAAATGGGCATTGAAGACAAGTTGAGACATAAGCAAGACAGAGACATCAGAATAGACATGAAGGACAAAGATAGGCTTGTTGAAGGGCCGGGTAGGGCCCCGGGCTTTAACCTCAAAAGTCGGGGTTTCGGAAGGAATTTGGGCATGTGGTTCGGGAGTTAAGTCCGTCCATATGAAATATGAATGCTCGCCAAGTTTGATGTCAATCGGACACCGAACGGACAATGCACAACACCGTATGACAGTTCAAAAAAATCATGTAAAATGTACTTTAGGGTACCATGGTGTTAGCTCTCCACCACCCTTGGGCCCTATGGCCTAAGTGAGCTACCCTGCGTCACATACGTGTGTCACAGTGTGGGCGAGCGTGTTGAGACGAGTGTCTCGGACGACTTCCTTTGAAATGGGTTTTTGAAGAACAGTACCGGACGGCACGGGTGTGCCGGTATTGCGCCCTAGCCCGCGTATTGGAGGTTGCTACATACAACCACTATCCGGAACGGTATCTGTAAATGACTCGACATGGGCACAAGAGGGCCTATGCCTCGATGGAACCCGGATGGATGGATGTTCGGGAAGTCCCGATGAGATAAACGACACGCGGGCCCATTCTCGATGGCATGACTGAGCGAGTTATGATGGTCAACGACATCCCGAGACTCAGGATGGCGTCAAGACATATGAACCCTGTCGATTGGGATCGAGATGGCAAGATGAGATGTGGCGTTCCATTGAGAGACCTTGGCCCGAGCAAAGCCAAGGTCGAGCCGAATGACTTGGCCTAGCGTAGAGACAAGTCGAATGTGTCGCAGACAATTGAACATGCACGCACAGGCGGCGTGTGTGGTTGAACAAGCTTAGATTCCGCACAAGCGATGTTCGATTAGCGAAGACAAACCTCACCTAAGGTCCGACGAAGCCACAAAGTCGGGGCGAAAAATATATATGGGACTTAATTCCCCTCAAGGCTAGTCGTGAGCGTGTCAAGATCACGACACCGCACAGTAAAAAATGTAGGACCGTGACAGCTAACTCCCAAGGGGGAGGGATTGTGGGATCCCACATCGGTTGGAGGGAAACAAATCATTCTTATTAGTGTGTAGAAACCTCTTCCTAAAAAACGCGTTTTACAATCGTGAGGCTGATGACACTACATAACAAACCATAGCAGGCAATATCTACTAGCGGTGGCCTCGAGGTGTTCCAAGCTTTATGCAATTTTATTTTCAATTTTTGTATGGTAAGGAGGAGTCCTCAACCTTCATGCCCATTTTGAGTTATTTTATTTGTTTTAGGAGGATGATCCTCGCCTTTGAGTCATGGAGCAACTTGTATAAATAGTACTTTTAATTCAGAAATATTAAAATTCCCTCTATTTGAGCCTTATAATTATTCAAAATAGGATGTTCCCACACACAAATACCGTCCACCTCCACTTATGAGACCCATAACTCGATCACAAACTTGGCTAATAACAGATAGGTTTCAGTATTAAGTGAAAAGAAGCAATGCTTGTTTACTGAGTTAGTGTAGAAGCAAGAACAAGCTGTAATAAGCATATGCAAAAATTGTTGACATCTCACACATCTGATACAAATGATAAAATTTTATGGCAGGATTGAAAAAGAGTTGCATAAAACAAATATAAAACTATATAAACAAATGCATGGATGTTCAAGGGAGAATCCTAAAGGATCTTATTTCTATTGCTTTGTATAAACAAACCTCTCAGACTTTGAGTATTGACATGACTGGGCACCGTGCAATGAAAGCGAGAAGATCTCCCCACTGGAACGCCATGAACAAAGTTGGGGTTCTGGGTTTGGTCAGTGGCAGTTAAAGTACTTCACTTGAGTTACTATGATGGCAGTTCATTCCCTCACAGAAGCATTCATGTGGATTGGCATAAAAGTAATCTTCTTCCTTTGGCTTGTCTGGAATGGCTCTCCGTTGCAGTGGCTGACCTTGCCTTTTCTCATGTGCCAATCTTACAGCAGCTGCAAAGTCATCCCAAGAAAGAGTACCATTCTGATGCATATCCACTAGTTCTACTAGCTTTTTCCTATCCAGTGTTATTGTTCTCTTAAACCCCAGGTATCTGTGAGCAGTATAAATTAACTCAGCCTGTGATAGAAATTGGCATCCTACTTTCACAAAGGAGAGAATGTGGCATACCTCCGGTGACCTTCAACAAGTCTTGCCATGTTACCGTCATAGGTAGGAATGAAAGTGTTACTGGCTACAGAAACCATGAAATCTAAAGCTGCCATTTGCGATGAATGATTCCGAAATAACTTCAATTCTTCTGGGGATAGCAATGCTTCCTTTTTCACCTGCAATACAATAGGGTAATGCATTTAAGAAGAATTTGACGTTCGCTGTAGTATAAACCTTAAAGACCGTTTCTTCGCTACTACAGTGTCCAATGATAGAATAGCTTCACTTTTTTCTGCAAAGGGTTTCCTAGAATGCCTCCTCTTTTCTTTTCTTTTTTTTGGTTAAATCATCAAAAATACACTTGTACTTCGGAGTTGGTTTCAATTATATCCCTTGTAACAGCCCAAGCCCACCGCTAGCAAATGTTGTCCTCTTTGGTCTTTCCCTTCTGGACTTATAAAACATATCTACTAGGGAGAGGTTTCCATACCCTTATAAGGAATGCTTCGTTCAGCTCTTCAATCGACGTGGGATCTCACAACCCCTAAACTTTGAAATTTTTCATTTCAACCCTTAACGTTTGTTACAAAACAACTCTTGCAGGCCTTTTGCCATTAAAATCAACATGGAAAAGTTGTCTTTGATTATGTGAACAAATCTAAACACAAAGGAGAAAACAAAGACACATAGCATGTGTGAGCCATATTTGTTGTCATCTTCCTTATTTCAACCCCACATCCCAATTTATGGTATTTTTCCCAACTCTAACCCCAAAATTTACTTCCAATGGGTTTAGATAGGTTCACACAAACAACACGTAAACCGAGACAAACTTCAAGAGTTTAAGTGCAACTTTTCAAAGTTTGGGTACAATTATGTCTCAACTAGAAGTTCGTTAGCTACCTCTCAATTTGTTCTAGGATTCTTTCTATTTGTAGGTCATTTATGGCATGCAGGAAGGGCTCGGGCAGCTGCCGCAGGATTTGAAAAAGGAATGAATTGATCGTTTGAACCTCTTTATAACTCCTCTTAACTGAGACAGGCGATCTAATGCTTGAAGGCAAAATCAATCCATTGGATTCCACCATATATATCAGGTTGGACAGATCAGGTTATATTAGAAAAGTCTGTCTTTTTCCTTTCTTCATTTCTATCTACCTACTCTTTTTTTCTTTCTTCTTTGTCAACTCTACAGTTTAACTTGTTTTTTTTTTTTTTTTGTGGAGATTAAAAAACTAGCTTGATGTGAAAAAAAGTTTTAAGGATTTCCCAGAAAGTCGTGCTAAGTTTCAACCAATTCTCTTCACAGATATTTTCCAAAGGAGTTGCACCAGAAGGTGTAAATTCATGCAGATGACATCAAAGGTCGTCTGAATTCCAGCCAATGGCCTTCACAGACATATTTCAGATAAAGCACATCAAAACGTGATAATTTGAGCACAAGATACTGAGATAGTACTCACAGTCATTGGGAAGGCTTCCCTAAGAGTTGCAAGCCTCCGTTCACTACCATAAATCTCCCCGGCAGCAATATATAACTGTGTCTCCTTGTTAAAACCCAAGGCCTGTAATGTCAGTGCCGCTTCCTCTGGAGTCAGAGGACACTGACCCTGTGATCTCCTCTCTTCAGACAATATCTCTTTCTCTCTCCACCAAGGGAATGCATATCTGAAGAAAGTTCAACTATAGATTAGTATTTCACCTGAGAAGAATCTCCAGATGATCAGTTTGGCATAAACCACAACGATTGCAGAGATAGTAGAAGGTATATATAAACCAGAATATTTAGGAGAAAATATAAACACCAAATTTGAGCCAGGTTAAAAAACTTGCTCTTGCAACTGAAACCACCAACATGGTATTTATATTTCTTAGAAATATACACCAGAAATTTGTAGTGGGTTATTATTATAGACGGATTGTGAACAGTAATAAGGAAAATATTTCAGTGATTGGATCCTCAGAAGTTTAATTTTCACATTTACGAACCTCATTTGTTTGAGCTCATCGGCTTCTTTCGTCGTACAGCCATGTGTACAACCTGAAAAGGCCAGCATATCCATCTCGTATCTCAGATGCAAGACCACAATGGGTCCCTTTTCTTGAAGTAGACGGATTAACTTATAACCCAATGTTTCAATCTGAGGGGAGAATTTCAGTGCCTGAAAATTGACTCGACACCTGAGTTTCTGTAAGTAAACTGGGATTCCATTGTTTGCCAAGCGTGCATCTGTTTTATTAAAATGCAACACTGTGTGCTTCTTAAAGAGAGGAAGAATCTGCACAATGGATTTTAAGGCATTAGATTAAGAGCATCGAAATAGATTAGAGCACAAGAAGATATTTCTATAGTTGAACATAAAAATATTTTCGAAATTTCTGTATCTCGCGATCCAACTTTTGAACTGCTATGGAAATACAACAACACGCACAACGATAATGACTTATCTAAGATGTGAGTAACTGCAACCAACAAGCATAGAGCTAAAAGAATCATCTTTCGCTCCCCTTTTTTCACCCACTTGTCCAAACAACTCCCCTCTCCCAAGACACTGAAAGAAGAACCCTTCACGGATTTTTTTTCTTTTAGGGTAAGAAACTAAACTTTCATAGAAAAAATGAAAAAAAATGCAAGGGCATAAGAAAAGAGGAGTCTGGCACTAACTGCAAAAAGAACTCCAGTCTAAAAGAACAAGACCAATATATACAATAACTTCTTTGGCTCTTGTTCTAATACAGATAATTACTTCTAATCTTTTTATAGAGCGAAATAAACCGAACTGTTTTAGATCCATCATTTTCTCTGACACAATAGAGCATGCGTTAAGATGCAATCCAGTTTGCAGAAAATGCTAAATTCAGGAATATGTCTAAGATATTATCAATTCTCATTATGACGTAGATGTCTTGATGCAATTGCATTGCATGGACTCAAATTATTCCTTAAAATTTCACGACTCATGTGATTCAGTAAAAAGATTATACAGCCCTAGGGTAGGCTTGCAATATATCATCTCTAGCAGCCTGGAACAACTGATAATGAGTGGTCTACTAAGCGTTGCCCTAACAGTACCTCCCCCCTTTGCCCTTAGACATCATTCAATTACTTAGAGTAAGAATCTGGTAATTGGGACGTCTTCTTACAGCACCAAAATCTGGTGATGATACTTCCAGCAGATTTTGGAGGATGTTTGGTGAATAACAATCCTCTAACAGATACATATTCTAGGCTGTATAATCTCTCTGAGCGTGAGCAGAAATTGGTTCAAAATCCAGTTTGGGGGGCAGGCGGCCACGTTAGGTTTGAGTAAAGGCAACAAAAAATTGACATAGAGTACCAGTGAGACCACCGATTCAGGAAAGACTCAATTTAGACCAAGCTTTACCTCAAGATAATACTCTCAAAGCTGCACTTGATTGGTATCTACATACAATTTGGTAAATATCCCAGAAGCATCGTTTGACCATCCAAGGAACCTAAATTTGCATCTAATGAGAAATATGAAAAACTAGGCCTGATGATGATAGCCTATCATTTCTGCAATTGGATCATGGACATTCTCATGCACTACCATCTGATCTTGGTTGTATATAAGTATATAAAAGATAAGCAATATGACAAACTAGTGTACAAGTGAGAAAAAATAATACGAACCTGTTCTAAATAATATTTTTCATTTGACCAGCTAACTGGAGGCATGGAAAATGGTATAAATCCATGCTTCCTATTGAACTTTTTGGGTAGTCTTCTGACAATGCGGACTTCGTCTCTCAGTGAATCAATAAAATGCTTCACATTAAATATGTCATCAAAATTACTGCACGAGAGCTCAGTGTTAACATACTGGAATTTGTTAGAGAAAGTAACCAAATCACAGATAGCAAGAAAAGGAACATACCTCGGGTCCGCCCAAAAAGATGTTTTATCAAGTTCTGGAACAACCAACGTCAAGTTCAAAAGGCGAGCAACAGTCACCATATCACAGATCTGAAATGCTTAATTAGATGAGTCCAATATATCATCCTTTGAAGGAAAAGTACAAACAATAACATAGGCATAAATTAGGAAGACGTGGGGGGAAGAAGCAAGTCAAAAAGTGCACACCGCAGCACGCATCTGATTTAAGCCCCCATTGCAGGACACTCGAAGATAACCATTACTTGAATAGTTCCCTGCACAAATTGAGGTCTTTAAGTCAAATTCTCCCCAAAGCAGTTGGCGGAAAAGATAAATTTAGAGATTGAATGATATGGTAGCCAGACTGTAATGGATGAATTATCCAAGAAGCTCAACAGTGATGCCACTGAAGTTCCATAGCTTATTTGTAGGAAGAGCACAAAGGAAAATTGATTCCACAAATTAAAAAGGGAAATAATATCATTACTTTTTATCCAATAAGCTTGATTGATCGGGTAACGCATGTAACAGTCTAAGCATACCGCTAGTAAATATTGTCCGCTTCGGCTCGTTATGTATAACCGTTAACCTCACGATTCTAAAACGCGTTTACAAGGGAGAGGTTTCCACACCCTTACAATGAATGCTCCATTCCCCTCTCCAACCGATGTGGGATCTCACAACGCATTTCGACACATCAAGTACAACTTTGTAATATATAGAATAACACTGGTGGTTTCCACAATTCATAGATACTTATAATCTCAAGCAAAAAGAACCAATTAAGAGATGTTGGTGAACTCCACAGTCCATGCTCTCAAGCTAAACAAATCCACCAGCTGAACGGTGCAGTGACTCTATACTGTAATAAACTAAACCCATAGACGAAACTTTTCATTGAAAAAATTAAAACAAACTAAACAAAACCCAATTATGGCTACTCTTGTATGCATTGCTTTCAAACCAAGACAATCCAATGAGAACGGTGGTGGCCACATTGATACCTCAAGACATGCCCTTACGCAATGCAGAAATTAAGAACTCCACATACAGCAACAAGAACAAACGTATTTATGCATATCATTGCGCTAATCAAACACCTAAAATCCAACAGACTCCGATGAAAGAAGACGGATTAGATTAACGAACTCACTTGCTGGAAGAAGCGGCGCCGATTGAATGGACTCTCCGACGTGTAGCGAGAGCGGAATCCCAGTAACTTGCGAAATCCGATTGGTTATATTGGATATAAAAAGGGGATGCCATAACTTCCCAAATGCAACGAGCTGAACAAAAAATGTCCAGAGCAAAATGCTGGAGCAGACGCGAACAAACCAAACCTGCAAACGGGTCCTCGGAACTACAGGAACTGGGAGTTTATCGGACCTAACTTGTACACCCTCAGATCTAACTTCCATTGCTCCGCTAAACACCACATTGCTGCCTCATTCAAAGTGCTCCCCTATCCAATCAATTCCCACATTCAAAATATCCATTCCGAGGCTTACGATTTCCAGATTTGCATCGCCGTTCGGGGATTGAAGCCCGCTTCACACCCGAGAACACGAACAACTTACAGTAAACTAAATTATCGGTATCATGCAAATCGGTTCAGCTAGGGGAATTGAATCTCAGTAGATGGAAAGCCCAAAAGGCTGAATCGGGCAATCAATCACAATCTCAGCTAATGGGCTGTTTGGATTGAAGAAGAAACGGAAAAACATCAGAAGTGAAGAGGGGTGCGGAATGGAGGTGGCGATTCACGAGCTAAAAATGAAGAAAATTAAGCTGGAACGACAAAATAAATGCCTTCTCATTAAACTTTCCCGCAAATTTCTGCCGTTTCCTATATATTTCCAACTCTGAAACTCAAACAAGGAAGAAAAGGAACGCTGAAATTTGCGTGGGCTTGGAAAATAGTGATTAGTGTGTTTGGGTGTAGAAGCAAACACAAGAAAGTCTACAAAATTGATGTGTTTATATTAATTTGATGCAATTTCCAGACAATTGCGGTCAATTGCATTTTTTAGTTTATTAATTTTTGTTGAGAAATGGACGAACGGAAGATCCAGTTTTTACAGCAACCGATTCTTCTTCTAAATGTCTCTACAACATTATCCAACAAAAAAGGAAAAAAAAAAAAATCATGAAATCGAAATTCACCGTGCAATTTTCTTTTCGATGGAATTGGAAATCATTAAATGTTGTTGAAATCTTTCTAGATTTCTCTAAGAGGAAAGTGGAGCATATGCTGCCTTTCTACTGCGGAATTCGTTAAATGTTCAAAACTAATATAGAAAAAATAAATTTGTTTTTTTTTTTTAAAAAAAAAAGGAAGATTATTGTGGCATAGGTTGTAACTATCTTGGGAGAACACGTGACTTCAATTGAGCTTTACGGGTAGTAAGTAGTGTGACAAATATAATCAGAACGATCTTCAAAACCATTTTAAATAAAAAAATTAAAAAAAAAAATGTATAGTAACTAGTTGAGATATCTCTTATTATTTTTAAAGTTTAAAAATTTATATCCTTCTAAATTAAAAGAAAAAAGATTACACTGGCTTGGGTATTGATTTTTTTATTTTTAGAAAATGTTCATAAACTTTTAATTTAATTTATGGTCTATCTAATCATTATCAAATTTGAAATTTAAAAATTTTGATAAGTCAATGAAAATCAAAAGTATTAATAATTTTTTAAAAATTTATGGTCTACCAAATCATTATCAAAAATAAAAATTTAAAAAATAAACAAGTTTCAAAAATACCTTATTAATAGTATTTTAAAAATATTCTTAAATATTCAAAAGTTTTACTTTTCCATCTATATATCTATATATATTAATGGCAATATTAAAAATTTAGAAATATTAAACATATTTTTAATTTTTAAAATTTTATGGATATTTTCTTATACCTAAATGATATTTTTTTTTAATTTTTAAAAAAGTTTGAAAGGTATTAATAATTTTTTAAAAAAAATTAAGAATATTTTAAAAATAAAGTAATAATAATTTTCATTAAAAAAAACTAATACTAATGAATGATAAGGCATTTTTTAAGATAAATAACATTGAGGTTGGTATTTTTATTAATTTAGTTTTATTTTTTAAGTAAAATTGGGGGAGTCAGATTCTAAGTCTCAGATTCGGCAGTGGAAATCGCGCTTCGATAGAGAATCAGACACTTGGAGGAAGAATCAAAGAACTAGAGTGCATATTGGAGAAATGAAGTTGCAAGGAAAATCATCTAGTCTACAACACGCATCCTCTTGCAACAAAAACTAAATCCATTCTTTACACGAAAAGACAGAATCAGAGAGGCCATGGAAGTAGAAGTACATAGAATACTTGAGTTTTCCTCGTCACCAAATCTAAATTACAATTGAAACATGAGAAGAAACGATTAAATGCTATGGGAGACATTGAAGAAGGCCACATTCTGGTGGAGATTCCTCCACGGAAAATGGGACTGGGATTGGGGATGACAATACTAGAGTGGGCAGGTGAAGAAAAATGAGATATTTCAATCAAAATCACCATTTGAGTAGAGGGTGAAAGAAGCCGTAAAATCTTTTTTCACAGCCTTTGCTAGTCAAGAGAAACTGGCAACTTCAGGGGAATATAATCGAGCAGAAGAAAGCTGAATGTTAGGAACCACATACCGTACTGCATTCACACATGAAATCATACCATCACTTTCAATGCTATGCATTAAACAAATTCCAGTGATGATCAGTAGGTATATCTTTCCTTGATCTTTTCAAGTCTTTTGAGAATTTCCAAGAAAGAAGGTCTCTTGTTCATATCAGCTGCCCAACATTCTACAGTTAACCTGGGAAGAATGAAGCCAGAAGAGGCTCGTATAATAAATGACAAGCTATCTCCATAAATTGATATGAAATGAAATTGTTTCTTTTTTTTTTTTTTTTTTTTTTTTTTTTTTTTTTTTTTTTTTTTTTT